TTCAATGAAATATTCAGAATCAGTTTAGGACATTTTTTTTATATTTCAAAACAAAAAACTATTTTGAGTGTCTTTTTCTCTTATTTTTTCTGCGCCCTAAGCAAAAAAAAAAAGTGTCCGTTCGCTCTTTTTTTTTTTGCTACGAACGGGACTCACACTCTTGAGAGAAACTCATGGACTATACCTAAGGACAGTCCTGGGAAGCACAAAATTCCTTTAGGTTAGCGTGTCTCCCTAAATATAGGCGTGCACCAGATTTTTCTTCAGATGGGGGGCGCGAAGGTGTAGAAGAAAGTTCGTCACCGCCTCCCCTCTCCTATCAAGTCAATGTATGGGGCAGACTTTGCGCCCTCGTCTCAGGTGACTAAGAAAGAAAATCCGCCCTCTTGCTTCCCCCACCCCCCTTTTGTGCGCATGCTTGTGTTCCTACAGATACGGTTCTCCAATACAGAGTTAGCGTGTTTCCATAAAAAAGATTTACAAATGTAAAAGTCACACGCAGACCAAAAGTGCCAAATGACTTTTTTTTTTTACTTAGAGTGTATTGCAGCCCGTGAATATACAAATGCATCGTTAGTTCAAGTTTTCTAGATGTTATTCGATAAAAAGTGCGCGCGCTCGCGCCAAGGACTAGTCTTCTTGCTCATGTTCTTTGAGTGCCTTGACGATGATAACAAGGGTGGCGCCCTTTAAGGGCCCGGGTTGTAGTATGCTTTAGTCGCTTGGCGTAACGCAGGTAAAATAACGTATAAAGATAGCAAGTTAGAAATGGAATAGACGCATAAAATTAGGGATAGGTAGAAATATATAAAAAAAGCTAGAGGAAGAAAAACTGGCAAATAGAAAAAAAAGCAATAAATAGAGAAAAATAAAACCTAAGAGGAAGAAGGATGGCTGCCATGTTCAGCACTTCGTCAGGCTTAACGCCACTAGTTCGAAGATGGCATTTTATTTTATTATTTCTTGTCTTCCGCGGAATCGTGGGATCAGTCGTCGCATACGTAACGCTGCATAAAATACGACGCTTCACGTAGGCGGTGGACGGTTGAATAATACAGAAACGTGTCGTGCTCGGAAATTTGAAACGAGAAATACTTAGCCGTTCGTGCTACATGAAACTGGATTTCGACGTCAGTGCGCATTGGCAGTTGTGCACACGAGGCCGCGGAGGTAGTAACAATAAATTGGGCGTGCTTTATGTATTGATTCAGGTCGAAAATACCGCTCGAATCGAAGGACAATATAATCGAAGGAGCGTGATATGCGCCTTGACTCATTTTCGATGTGTACTTCATTTTAAACACATTTTAAAAGACAAAATTACGAACAGGACTAGCGTAAACTTCATTAAAGATTATATGGGCCTGTCTTTTGATGTTGTCGAATGTTAGTATGGCTCGGGCTCGAATACCCTTTGATTGGATGTGTTTTCATAGACGGGGTGAACCCAGTACGGTCTGTATACCCAAATGACAAGCACAAACTATACGCGCCCGAGTTTATGGACTCAACTAATTAGCCTCGCGATGATAAGGCACGAGATTAATTAACCTCATATTTGTTCGCGCTCATGCGCGTTGCTAGCTTCATTAGCCTCGCATCTTCAAAGTGTTCGAGAGAGTTTGAGGGTTTGTCGAACGTGAAACGCTGCGGTGTTCTTGGAGGCTGCCGGGCGCCAAGCAGTTCATTTTCTTTAAAGTGTCTTTTTTATATTACACGTGCTTCAGAGCAAGACCTTCTTTAATCAAGGCTTCACCGTCGCGCCAGACCGTCCCAATCTGAGAGTAAAAAAAGAACAACAAAAGAAAAAAGCAAATAAGTTGCACAGAAGGCGGCGAATCAATTTGTTTGCGGGAGCTGTACGCGACGGCTATCTGTGTAGTGAAGACGTCACTGGTTTGTGCCACCTTCTGGTCACTTCTTTGAAATTTTACGATTTGCATTTGTTAGTACGAGAAAAACTAAAACCTGAGTTCGAGACTAAGCGTGAAGGAAAGCTTTTTTTTTTATATCGCGTTAAGTGGAGTGCTGCTCTACTACTACTACTACTACTACTACTACTACTACTACTACTGCTACTACTACTGCTGCTGCTGCTGCTTTGTTACTAGTACTACTACTACCGCCACCACTACTACAAATAATAATAACAAAATCGCTGGCAGAAACGATGCAGTTGGTTTGATTATACATGCGACACGTATTACAACCACGTAAACGAAGCAGTAAAGGAACAAACGAAGAAGCCACTGAAAGATAATTGATCTGAACATCTCCAAATGCGTTGGTTGTGCGTGGACGTTTTTTGCTGGACCACGGCAATCGACATGCGTAAAACTGCGCACCAGTAAGTGAATATACCACACGTATAGGAAGCCCCTGCCGTCAATATTTTCCGTTTCTTCTCCTCTCGTCAGCTCGAGTTCGTTAGAATTTGTGCGGATGCTCGTACGGCGTTATTGAAACCACTTCGTGCCGCTTTCGCAGCGCCGTATCGAGCAGCGCTCTTTTCGAGAGAAAAAAGAATAATAATCATAAAAAAAAGTCTCGTCCTCTGTCGCTCGGCCTAGTCGCACTTCGCCGTGCTTGCGCGCTAGCCGGTCTGCATAAAAAGAGCGTTCCCGGTGCCATCAATAACCTGGACGACGCGAACGGTGGTGGAGGGCTTCTTCCTTCGGCGCCCTATGCGGCGTCCCGCAGACGATCCCATATCTAAAGCCCGCTTCTTTTTTTCCCCATTCCTCGTTCCCTAAACGAAAGCTCAGCGGGGTGGCGCGGGATCGCTTTTGTCGCGCACACGCCACCGTCACCACCGCGCACCGCCCTTATTTCCCGACAGTGAAGAGTTGTCGCGACGACTTTTTAGGGGACCTGTATACCCTGCGGGCGACCCAGCCCCCGTGAAGAGGCCATCTATATCCCTACGTCCTGCTGAGAGCCCTCAAAAGTGTCCCGGCCGCAGGTACTTCTCATTTATAGGGAGACAACACTTTGCGCGAGTGCTCCGTTGAACGCCGCTAATTCTACGCAGCGATAACGGTGCGCCGATGGGCCTGTGAAGGCTTACGCTGCGTTGCGTGTAGGACAAGTGAGCCTTTCTGTGAAGTATAATGTCGTGGCGAGGACTCCTTTCATTGATAGGCGCTCAGGGAACGTCCTCCAAGATACGATCGGACAGTTATTCATTTTTGAGGTTCAGAGCGAATCGCGGCTGCCGCAAAGACAGGCGCAAATGTGTTGAATGAATGAATGAATGAATGAATGAATGAAGCTCTCAACAGGGGCGCATTATCATTTGGTATATAAAGTCTGCATTGACCGATTGAACTAGCTAGGCAGCTTACTTTTTAGAGTATTCTGCAGTGAAATGTTTAGGTGCTTTTGCGTGTAACCCTGTCGTGCTTGCCTATGTGTGCGATCGTTATGAAAGTAGAGTGACATAGGAATGCATTATATCACTCGTAAGGGTTTCTATTTTCTTTTATTTTTCTCGTTCTTTATAATTCTATAGACTGCGGGACAAGCGCGATTTAGAAAAAGAAAACACGATGCCAAGATGTACAGTTAGACATTTAAGGAACCACCTGGACAAATACTAAAGACCATTCACTATTTGCTCTGGTTTCTTATGATCCACGTGAGGAACCCTCGACTTTCCAAGCGTTTAGTTGTTGTCATTGTGATATATATATAAAAGGCATCGTTTTCTGCCAGTCTTTCATGTTGTTTCATTCTAACTTTTTAAATGAATGCCAGATGTACTACTTTACTTTGTGAGCTTTTATAAGAACCGTGCGAAGCTTTGGAGGTATTGATAAAAAAAATCTTGATATTCACTTGCTTTATAATGCTACTAAATAATTTATATAGGAAAATTTTTGAAGGTGGAAGTCATAAATTGACCACAGCGAAATAAAAAGTGTATGGCACACAGAAGCAGTGCGTTTGCTTCGTTTGATCCATTCCGTAGAACATGCTTTGTGTGTCTCTCGATGAAATAACATTCTTTACTTCTTTTCTCACAATACAACGCAATCATTTCACGTTCTTCCATCGTAAATTATCTGAAAATTTTTCAAAGAAATATATGAGTAGGAGCACAATTCTGTTGCAAATAACGAAGACGATGTTTTCAGTATTTCAATTTCCCGTATCACGAGACTGATCTATGATGCATTCGCTTCACTGCACGGAATTAAACGCGCAATATGCTATGGCCTCTAAGTCTGTCTCATCCCGTGCCTCCCCTTCTTTCCCTTACCCTATTGGTTCTGTTTTTCATTTTTTAGAGCAGTAAAAATTTCGCTCCCCAAGAGCAGTAAATTTTGTAGTATGCGTCTGAAATCAAAGCCTTTTTTTTTAAATTTCATTTTCTCTCTTTTTCGCTGAGTGTTCAGATTGAAATAAATGGTCTCGCGGGTCGGGTTTGACATTATGAACTTCGCAGTTGGTTTAAAGAGCAAAAAAAAAGAAGTAAAAACTCACGTGGCGTGCGCAAACGAAAAATATGCAGCCGACGTAAAAGCGTAACTTACTGGGGAGCTCCCTGACTTTTGGAGGCTGGCCATGCGAGGTGGCGATAAATTTCTCGTCTGGTGATGTTTACAGGCCACCGTACAAACTAAGTCGTGTCGGAGTTCACCGCAAGCATTGTTTGTAGCTCCTACAACATTTACGCCTCGGCATGCGCCTCACACTTCAAGGCCTGGACTGGGCTAAGGTCATCTCAGACATCTCAATACATCGCTAGCTGAAAACACACGTACAGCTGCTCTCACACTTAGCCTTGACGAGTACCGTAATTGTCGGCAGTGTTTTTTGTGATGTTTCAGTCACAATTGTTCTGGAGTTTTTGCGAAGCAGTGTTCGCATATTATGACTTCCCTTGATGAGATTAACGTTGCTTCTTGCGCGAATAGCTGACCTTTTCTGAGGCTAAACTACTACAGCTTCGCACTCTCCACCTCTGAATGACTCATCCGTCGGAAACGACAGCTCACCTGTTGTAAAGAAGAGGAAGAAGAGCGACGAGGCGAAAAGCGCCGTCGCCAACGTTGATGTTTGCGTCATCCTCGGGCTTCCACTGGCTCAGCCTCTTGCCTTAATGCCTAAATAAAGAAAAGAGGAAGGATGAAAACAACGTTAATTGGTAGATTAAATTGTGCAATTACACGTACCGAAATCAAGATATAATTATTGAGCGCAGTAGTAGCAGACAGTGGGCTAATTATGCAAACCTTTGGTTTAACTAACGCACACTTAAAAAAATGTGCACAGGCCATTTCGTACCCCCTCTCCTGTTATTATGCGACAGCAGTGACCAGAAATTGACTTAATGCATATCAAGTTTGCGCCATAATAAGAGAAAATGACGTCAAACGAGACAAAACACACACACACACACACACACACACACACACACACACACACACACACACACACACACACACACACACATACACACACACACACACATCGCACAGCGTCAGCAGGGACGCGAACCCACCCCCTCACGCTCAGGCGCCGTGCTGTGGCAACTAAGACACCCCGTAGGTGGCTTTACATGGGCACCAACAGAGCCTTATCGGGCTGGCAGTACGGAAAGAAGAAGTAATTGGACCAATAGCTAAATATGCCCCAATAGGATCAAACGCAAACTTAAAGATCTTGGACGGTGCGATTTTTTTTTGTCAGGCCGTCTTTCGACGCTCACGACACGAGCGCTTTACGCAATCTATATTATAGTACCGGATGTTATGCAACGCTCGAAGACACGTGGTGTATAAAATATGCAAACATTGAGCCAACCAGTGTATCGTGGCGCTAACGAAATGCTAATGAGTCGCGAACCTCATTTGCATTATAGATGCCAAGCTGAAGAAATGAATATTTTCCCGCAACAGTAGCGCGCATACTATACGTAGAACTCTGACGGCAGTATTGAAGTTGCCGCGTTTGAAATTAAAGCTTTACGCTGTTCGCGGAGAGATTAGCGTCGCAAATGAAAGAGAACTTTAGACTTGGGCCTTATGCAACGTAGCTGTTTAAATCAAAGAGGGAGAAAGGACGTCTGAAAGGGAAGGAGCAAAAGCGAAGAGAAAGAGAGACAAACCATATGTTTTGTACAATAAGGAAGTGCAGAGGAAGATGGTTGTTTGAAATTAAAAGAACTGTTCAAAAGGGAATTTCGATACTGCGTTGATGCCCTGACGAAAAAAAAAAAACCTTGTCGTGTCGGAAAACTGCACCTAGTTACATTCTTTTTGCGCTTAATTACTACAAAATTGATGGCCAGTCCGTTATGAAAATGAACTTTAAAATTATGAAAATTTACACTTAGTACTACATGCAACGAATTACATTTTGCACTGGACAAAGGAGCGTCGATTCAACGAACTTGAAGAAATAAGCGAGAGTCACGACCTTACTTCTTCACACAAACAGACCAACCCTTAGGCTTGCTGCTTAGTACCGCGAGCGCAATCTTTTCAAATATTTGGTGTAACCGCTGATTGATGCGCCCTGGGAATTTCGTTATGAAGATGTTTGGCTCTGAAGCTGTAAATAAAGCACGGTATTCTCCCCCTCCCCTCCTTTGTTTGGTAAAGAATATTACCGTACACTTTAGCTTAGCCAAATAGTTTGTTCATTGCGTTTGTTTGCAATAGTTAACTCTGATGGAACGCACGATTGAGCAGCTTCGCTGTATCCGGTTTGGGTACTCGGCTTGCTGCGTCCCGCCCGTATACTCAAAGCAAAACAGGCAGACGCCTCTCAGGACAGGTAAACAACGAATTTAATGGCGAGCCGCCAAACTCACTCGAACTTAAGCAAACGAGAATCCGCGGGGTCTGTGGAAGGACCACTTTCGTGCAGGGGACGACGATGACGAAGAAGGGCAAAGTGTCGCGCGGTATGTTGCATGTTCCTCATATACATACCGCGAAGGAAGGGGGAGAAGCCTCGACGCTGGGTGCCTCGGTCTAGGCGGCTGCGTTCCTTGTTCCATCCTCAGGGTTGCGGTCAAGTAGCCGGCGGTTACTTTTATTTTATTTTATTAGATCTACCTCTTGTTCCGCATTTGTTTTAGTGCATTGATAAGTGTAACTTCTTCTTATTTCATGTCTGTTTCTTCTCCGGGCCAGAGGCCTGCCCTCTGGTCAGCCTCTGTTCGCCCTCAAGATCTTCCTCTGGAGTTGTTTCTCCGCAATGGAACCCGTAGCGTTCCTGTCGCTTTGGTGCCGACCAACGGTGGGTTCATACGCATGAAAAACCCCAAGACAATCCAAACGGAACTTCGTGCGATCACTCCCCACTCTCTACTGATAACAGAGGTTCGTCAGTTTGGACGCGGGGGGATACTATGCTGCTCACCAGACAAGGCCTGCATCCAAGACCTTCTGAAGTGCACTATTTTTGCATCACATCCGGTGAGCTCTTTTATCCCACCTCATCTAGCTTGCTGCAAAGGATTGGTTCGGAGGGTAGACGCAAGTCTAAGCCCAGCAGAAGTCGTGGACATCTTTTCCCCAGCAGGTGTTATTTCTGTTTACCGCTGTACCAAACAGGAAAACCAACAGAAAGTTCCCACTGAAACTGTAATTGCCACATTCGCTGGAACAGATCGCCCTTCGGAGATCAAGGCATGGCCGCTTATCTATAAGGTCGAAGCTTTGGCTCCCCGTCTGCTGCAATGTGCTAAATGTTGGCGCTTTGGACACAGCACTAAAGGTTGTCGATCGGAGACTCGATGCCGCATATGCGGAGCCATAGACGGGGCTGGTCATAGTACTGCTGAGTGTCAATCAGACAATAAGACATGCTGTTTGTGCAAGGCAAATCACGCTGCAGACGATCCTAACTGCCCTGCAAGATCAAAAGAACTTCAGGTGATTGAACTCATTGAAAGGAGACGATGCTCTTGTAGAGAAGCAATTGCAGAAATTCAAAGCAGGAGTCAGGGTTATGCCGGTATAGCAGCTCGTCCACCTCTTTCTATGGATGCCTCACTTTCTCAGTCTATTTCTGCTATGGTAGAAAAGGCCGTAGAAAAAGTATTAGAAAAATTTTTACTCAATCTGACCGACTCACTCAATAGTATTATGGATTCACAGATGTCGGGTGCATCTGATCGAATAACTAAGCGTATCCAACCTCCTAGTGCCACAATTAGTAAACCTGCCGAACATCACTCAGATGTCTCTATCGATAATGAGGCAATGCTTTCCAGTCCTAACACTACTGAGCAGGAAGGTATATCTGATTCAGAATCAATAATTAATCGGGATGTAGATATGGATGCTCGCCTTTTTAAACGCACCAGATCACCCACTAGCAAACTTAATAATTCTTCTCATCCAAAAACAAAAAAGAGTGTGAAGGAACCTAGGACTAAAGCGGACTTCTTAAAAGATAGTATCTTAGATCAAGCAGTTGCTACTGCTTGCTTATCATCACAGGGTACCTTAGAGTACTTCAGTGGAACTGCCGTTCAATTCTCTCTGCAACTACAGACTTATTATACCTAATTTCTCAACAATCTCCAGACGTCATAATTTTACAAGAAACTTGGCTGTCTGCTGATCAAAACTTTTATCTAAAAGACTATCAGTGCTTTCGACTGGACCGAGACTCACGTGGTGGAGGATTAATGTTTTTCATTTCATCCAAAATTTGCCATAAAGCACACTTAGTTTACCAACAAATATCACACGATTATGAAGTATTGGTTCTGGAAATTCACTTTCCCGGATGCGCGCCACTATCTGTAGTCAACAACTACTTTCCGGCTGGAATACAAGATGAAAGAGCCCTTGACGTGACTGCGAGTTTTTGCAGAAACAGTATGCTATTTGCGGGAGACTTCAATTCCCATCACGTTTCATGGGGATTCCGCACTGATTCATCAGGAAAACAGTTGTGGGACTGGACTAACCAGAATAACTTTATTTGTTGGAACTCCAGAGTTCCGACATTCGTTCGATGTAATTCGAGGTCCGTCTTAGACTTGACATTTGCTAGCTCAAGTGTGACAATATTGTCTTGGACTGTTCTTGATACTGCTACAAGTAGTGATCACTGTCCCCTGGTATTTGAAGTCTGCATTCCTTTAGTAACGGTAGATCGCCAGGTGCAAAGTTTTGTAAACTACTCTAAATTTAAAAAGAACTTACAGTCAACGCTGTCTTCCTTGCCCAACATGGAAACAAATATGAAAGCTATGAGCCTTTGTTCCACCATAAAGTGTACAATTAAAAAATCACAGTTCACTATATCTACAACAAAGGGAAAATTCATATCTGCCTGGTGGAATGCGGATTGCGCCAGAGATTATAGACGCCGCAACGCTGCATGGAAAAAACTCCTCACCAACAAATGTCCGACTAATTGGAGAAATTGTTTATTTGCTAAAGCTACCTTTAGGAGAACAGTTTCATTAGCGAAAGATGATTATGAAGAAAAACGGTACAGCTACTTATCCAAGAGTGGCAACAAGAAAGCTCTATTCAGATTTCTCCGTAATCGTAAAGATATTACAGCATACGTAAATATTGACTCAGTTATTTCTTCTCCAACTGATTTGGAAAATACATTAACGGAAATTGCAATAGAATTGGAGAAGAGATTTACATCACAAATCAATATAAAGTGTGCAAAACCGTCATTCGGAAATGATTTTATTGAAGTAAGTAGGGATGAACTTGCGCACGTCGTTCGTATTCTGCCAAACACAGGTCCTGGACCAGATGGCGTCACTTCGGAAATGTTAAAAATATTATTCGACATCTCTCCTGTAGACCTCCTTAACGTTGTCAACTATTCACTTGAAAATAGTTGGATATCTCCTGACTGGAGACTTGCAAAAATAATACCGCTTCTTAGAAAACAGAGACTAGGAATGCAGATAGATAACATTAGGCCAATCGCTTTAACATCACTCGTAGTTAAGGTAATAGAAAGAATACTTTACATTAGAGTTACGAAGTTCATAACAGATAATGCGATACTCAGTGCGTGCCAGATTGGATTTAGACCAGGTTACTCTATATGGTGGGCGCATGTTGATTTAGAGGCTCGTATAAAGCTTGCTCGGCACAGACGACAATAT